CTGTGCAGTTGCCGCCAGACCAGTGCCCACTGCCATCCAGACCAGGGCGGAGGGTGAGGGAAAGGGAGAGAGATGGTCAAACCATATATGTTGTCTCATTGAGATATTAACTAAGCACATAGCTACCAGTCAAATGACTACATTTCCCAGCTTCCCTTGCAACTAGATATGGTCATGTGACCAAAAGCAACTCTTTGAACTCTGGGAGCCCACACATCCTGCTGATAACTCCATTGCTGTTGCTTACATCTGAGACCCCTGACTGACCCAGCGGGCTCATATGGAGGAACACAGTGCTGATGCCCTGACTGACCCAGCGGGCTCATATGGAGGAACACAGTGCTGATGCCCTGACTGACCCAGCGGGCTCATATGGAGGAACACAGTGCTGATGCCCTGACTACCCAGCAGGCTCATATGGAGGAACACAGTGCTGATGCCCTGACTGACCCAGCGGGCTCATATGGAGGAACACAGTGCTGATGCCCTGACTACCCAGCAGGCTCATATGGAGGAACACAGTGCTGATGCCCTGACTACCCAGCGGGCTCATATGGAGGAACACAGTGCTGATGCCCTGACTACCCAGCGGGCTCATATGGAGGAACACAGTGCTGATGCCCTGACTACCCAGCGGGCTCATATGGAGGAACACAGTGCTGATGCCCTGACTACCCAGCAGGCTCATATGAAGGAACACAGTGCTGATGCCCTGACTACCCAGCGGGCTGATATGGAGGAACACAGTGCTGATGCCCTGACTACCCAGCGGGCTCATATGGAGGAACACAGTGCTGACGCCCTGACTGACCCAGCAGGCTCATATGGAGGAACACAGTGCTGACGCCCTGACTGACCCAGCAGGCTCATATGGAGGAACACAGTGCTGATGCCCTGACTAACCCAGCGGGCTCATATGGAGGAACACAGTGCTGATGCCCTGACTGACCCAGCAGGCTCATATGGAGGTACACAGTGCTGACGCCCTGACTATCCAGGGGGCTCATATGGAGGAACACAGTGCTGATGCCCTGACTAACCCAGCGGCTCATATGGAGGAACACAGTGCTGATGCCCTGACTGACCCAGCGGGCTCATATGGAGGAACACAATGCTGACGCCCTGACTATCCAGTGGGCTCATATGGAGGAACACAGTGCTGATGCCCTGACTACCCAGCGGGCTCATATGGAGGAACACAGTGCTGACGCCCTGACTACCCAGCGGGCTCATATGGAGGAACACAGTGCTGATGCCCTGACTGACCCAGCGGGCTCATATGGAGGAACACAGTGCTGACGCCCTGACTATCCAGGGGGCTCATATGGAGGAACACAGTGCTGATGCTCCTGAGAAGAGAAACTGCCACAAGGAGCCGAGTAAACGTTTGCATGTTTCCAAAACGATAGACCTGGCAGGACCTGAGGGCAGAGAGAAAGTGTGATGTTGTAAGAGGAACTTCCAGGGCCAGAAAGGGACAACTGAGAAGTGAACAGTGCCCAGACCTCCCACCCAATTGGCAAAGACCGTAAGTTCTGATGACACCAAGGGCTCCAAGGATGAGAGGAAACTTCCATCCTCTGGAGAAAAATCTAGCAGCATCTAGTAAATTTGAGGACGTGCTTCTGCTATAAAACCCAGAGCAGTGGTTCTCAAGCTCGAGCAGGCCTCAGCACCTCTTAGAGGGCTTGTTGCAACACAGATCGCGGGGTTCCACCCTGGAGGGTCTGAAGAGTCTGAGGTGGTGCCTGAGAGTCTGCATTTCCAACAGGCACCCAGGTGATGCTAATACTGCTGGTCCAGGGACCACATTCTCAGAACCACTGACTTAGAGACACTCGTGTGTGTGCACAAAGAGACATGTACAAAGACGTTTATTGCAACATTATTTAATAGCAAACAATTGCAAAAACCTAACCATTTGTCAAAATATAGAAGCACACTGTGATATAGACATATGCCACAGCCATAAACCACACATATGGCCCAGCCATGATGAATGACAGAGGTAGAGTTACAGTCTTTTCATGGCTACTTCTCAAGGACAGTGCTGAGAGCAAAAAAGCAAGTTGCACAATGAATCATACAGTAAGAAGCTATTTACATCAAGTTGAAAACCTGCAAAACAATATTTTGTAACATTTATTATACATAAATTTGTTTTAAGAGTAAAAGACAGAAGGGGCTGATAAACACTGAGTTCAGGATGTAACACCTCTGAGGTGAGAAGTGGGAAAAGACATTGGCAAGAAAACGGGGGACTTCTACTCGTATCTGTAATATTTAATATCCTAAAATCTAAAGCAACTATGAAAATGGCAAGATTTGGTAAAAGTGGCTGCCCAGTACACGAATCTTCACCATCTTGTCTTTTATTCTTGACTGTAGGTTGGAAATATTTCATCATAAAGTATATTTTTTTAAAAGAAGAGTTTAGCCTCTATTTTGTCCTGGGGGTGTGGGGAGGGGCAGAGAACTATATTCTTTCTATTCCTCCTCCTCCCGTCTCCCTTCCCCCAAGCACTGGCCCATCCTCAAGCTGGGATCCTGAGCAGGGGGAGGTGACAGAAATTCTGAGAGCAGTGGGACCTGCGCCTCTGAGCACTAGGCTACCTGTCTCCCCATGCCCACTCTCCCCCTCCTCCTCAGTAATGGAACCCTCATTTTTAGCAGAATTTATGTCTTCCAAGAATAAAGACTACATTTCCCAGGCTTCTTTGCAGCTGCGTGTGGTCATGTGTCTAGGTTCTGGCCAACGGACTTTAAGTGGGAATGTCTTGTGCCACACTCAGGAAATGCCCTTTAAAGGAAGGGCAGGGCTATCCTTCCCTTCTTCCTTCCTCCCTCCAGGCTGAGAATGAGGCAGCTGGAACCACAGCAAAGGCAGGTGACAGAGGGACCTGACAGGGAGACACTGTGGCTGAGCCAGACCAGCCCCGGGACTGTCTACCTCCGATTCTTTTATAGGAGAGGGAGGAAAGTGCTGTCCCTCCTGTTGAGGCCTCCGGTTCTGTCAGATGCCGAGAACTACGTGATAATGACTGATGATGTCATGTCTTTAGCCACACTGGTGGGCACAGAGTGATGCCAGGGGACACCAGGGTGCCCCTCCTCAGTGCCTTGGCATTGTATGAGCCCCCTGGACCTGAGATGCCGCCCACCCACAAAGGGCAAAGGGACCCTCAATTGGCTTGAGATGATCTCTGCCATTTGGCAGGAAAGGAGTTTATTTATTTTTTTTAAAATATATTTTATTGATTTTTTACAGAGAGGAAGGGAGAGAGATAGAGAGTCAGAAACATCGATGAGAGAGAAACATCGATCAGCCGCCTCCTGCATACCCCCCACTGGGGATGTGCCCGCAACCAAGGTACATGCCCTTGACCAGAATTGAACCTGGGACCCTTCAGTCCGCAGGCCGACGCTCTATCCACTGAGCCAAACCGGTTTCGACAAGGAAAGGAGTTTAAATGAGAAGTTATGTCCGATTGCAGAAAAACAAAATGGCATTTCCTGCAAACTGAGTTTGTGAACTGAGACTCATGCTCTGACAGGGGTGTTGTTGCCCATTTTGCAGCTGAGAAAACAGAGGTGCAAAGAGATGCCATGACTTGCTCAGGGTCCCATAGAACCGGTTGGGGCAGGGACCACGTCAGTAGGCTGTCCACTGCCCTCGTGGAGCATTCAATCACAGGACCTCATGGCAGAACTGAAGCCGGCAGAGGGGACTGATAGCAACACAGGTGGGGACAAAGCAACACTCTAAATAACCACTGTCTCTCGGGAGGGCTTAGGGTGACTCAGCCCGGCCCCTGCAGGTTCACCGAGGACCCTGAGGCCAGAGGAGTGGAACCTTCCCCAAAATCAGGCAGCCAACAGCAAAGACGCCCCAATTTGAGCTACAGCACTAATATGTGTAGGGTGATATTTCAACTTTCTGAAGACAAAAGAACCCCACAAGGACCCTTTCTGAAGACAAAAGAACCCCACAAGGACCCTCCCCTTGACCTCAGATAGTGTCAGTCTCTCTCTCTCTCTCTCTCTCTGTGTGTGTGTGTGTGTGTGTGTACAAGAACGCACTATGGATCTCAACTAGCATCTTTCAACCCCAGGTCTTTGAAGAGAGGTGGCTCTGCCTTGGTCCTGGCATTTGGCTAGGGTGCCCTCTAGTGCCTCTATATTGTAATAGCACCGCTGACTGTGAATTCTGATTGTCTTACTCGGGGGTTTTCATCACATCTGTATAACTAGTTAAGTACAGCAATGCTCTTTTCCTCCATCCCCACGGTCACAGTTGCAGAGTCGAATGCCAATTTTATGACTAACTAGAGGCCCGGTGCATGAAATTCGTGCACGGGTACAATCCTTAGGTCTGGCCTGAGATCAGGGCCACCTTCCCCAGCTGCCCGCAGCCAGCCCCATCCCTCGCTGCCACCCACCCCCAGTTCCCTGTTCACCATCGGGTGATCGGTGCCTGACGGCCAGGGGAAGGGACCAAGAGGTCAGCTGTTCCTGCCCGCTTGCCTGCCCCGCCCCCGCCGCAGGTGGCCACAGGCGATCAGACCAAGAGGTGGTCAGTGCGCCTCACAGTGACTGGTCCAGCGGTCGTTCTGGTCATTCTGCTATTAGGGTCAATTTGCATATTACCCTTTTATTATATAGGATAGGTGATGACAACTAGAGTTTGTATAATGCTGCTTTAGAAAGATCCAAACTTGATGGTTCTTAAATTTGACCGTGCATAAGAATCCCCAGGGAGGCTTGTAAGCCCGGGAATGTACATTTTAACAGTCCAGAATAAGAGTGCTAGGCATTTTGGAAGTGTCCTCCTTGCTCACAACCTCCTTCCCCTCAGAACTGGCCCTGGCAGCCACACTTGTACTACATGGGCCTGTTTCCTGGTGGATGCTGAACCAGGGACGAACAGCTCATGTAGGCTGGGCTGCATCTCTTGAGCATTTTGACTTTGGGTTGATAGACAATGGTCTGGGCTGGCCTGTTGACCTAAGAATATTTGTAGGAGGGCAGAGTGCCCCATTCTGGTGTGCACGTGTGACAAGCTCTGGTGGGCAATCGCATCTGTGGCCCCCCTCTGCTAACAGAGGCCCCATGCCTCTGCACCCTCCGAGTCTGAGGTTCATGCAGAGCCATCTCCACCCAGAAGCACTCAAGCTGGGCGCGGCCAATCAGGGCTCAGGTCCCCTTGACTACATGGTGGGTTCAGACATAGGCATGTATCTCAACCAGAGCCAGTCAATGACTGTGTGTGTGTGTGTGTGTGTGTGTGTGTGTGTGTGTGTTCTTTTCCACTCCATTTGGATTTGGAAAGATGTAGACAAGAGCTGGTGGGCACCACATGAGGGGAGAGTGTCCCAAGAACGGAGGCCACAGAGCAGCAGCTGAGCCATGGATCGGCT